GAAGATCATGTCTATTTTACTTATCCTATGCTACAATGAGAGCTTAGTCCTGACTCCTGATTCTCGAGGCGGACCCATAGAAAACACTTCCTTTGCCCAACAATGGATATATGCGAAACACATACAAAACACTTCTTCCTCTATTGTTGTATTTACAGCGCGTTGCGTAGCAAAGTAAATTGTCCGATTGTTGCCTGCGTATTCGTTGTCGCGGTAATATGTTTACTGAGTCGATGCCCAGCAACGGGTCTACATGTCACAATACATACACACACACGCACACAAACGCATACATTTCACATGTTTCGTGTCATAGTATCTCACTGCTATGAGGACTCTAAGCCCTGTGTCTTAAGTTAAGAATCCTGCGTTGGAGTACCCAGCCCTCATATCCCTCTTAAAACAGTGGGCTCAGAGATTGGCGAGTAAGTTGCAGGGAAACATGCAACGCAAGCTTACAAGCTCACCGTCCGAATCCCCCTACTTAGGTTAATACACGTTGTTTAGAAGTCTGAAGTTCAGACACACTAAAAGCGGGGCGGTGTCTTTTGAGCATGTTACATGTACACATTATGTTGAAACAAAATATACCACTTAAAACCTTAGATACTTTGAAGGGGAGCGCAAATATTAACAGAAAACATTTCTGTGTGTGTCTTCTCTCTTGTGTTTCCATTACACACATTACAACTGAGTTATTTTGACCGTGTCCAACTCAGTGGGTGAGATCAAGAGGGGAGAGTGGAGTTTTGGCACTGCATAAAACTCCGGTCTGTGAGGAGATGTGTTTTAAGTCTGTATAGCTTTATTATGTACAGAGTAACAGTAGTAGCAGAAGACTTCAGCTGCTATCACATGAAATATTTAACGGTGCCAAAGCAATCTCTGGAAAGAGTCCCCCCACTTAGCTTGCATTAGTTACTATTGGCGGCCTCCTTGCCCTGCCATCATGTCTAGAGCATGTGCAAATATTCATGTCCACAGCAACTCTGTAGTGGTTCTCGTCATTGACTTCATGAACAAATAATAATATAGCGACTGGCTACGGGGGGGATGGGAGTTCGAGTCCCAATAAGGGCAAGAATTTTATCCTCTCCTCGTCATCCAGACCGGTTCTGAAGCTCGCCCAGCCTCCTATTATGGATCCTTTCCCCGGGGATAAAGCTGCCGGAGCGTGAAGCTCATCACTCACCTCCAACTACTGCCAAGGTCTAGAGTACGTGGCTCTATACATCCTCTCCCCCATACGCCTTCATGGCGTAGTGTTTAATTAGTTAAGCACAGGGACAATTTTTCCTTTAAAAAGAAATTGATCCATTTGTCATCCTAATCGAATTCCGTTTCAGTGAAGTTCAGCAGAGTACGTAAGCATGAAAATGAAGCAATTGACGTGCAAGCACTTATTGTATCTTCAGTAAGGTAAAGTTGCCTCTGTGCTTACTTAATTACGCACCGAACCATGACATGAGAGAGTGAGGGTACAGCTCTACCATTCTTGATCTCGGAACTAGATGGAGGTCAGTCGTCAGCTTCACGTCTAGGCTGCTTTATCCCTGGGGAAGAGCCCCCAGTACCTGCTCATGCTGGTTCCTAGCTTGCGGATTTTGTACCCTAAAAATGGAGGCGACATGTTCCTCCGAAACGTCGGTTGACACACGATCTCTTGATCTCGGAACTAGATGGAGGTCAGTCGTCAGCTTCACGTCTAGGCTGCTTTATCCCTGGGGAAGAGCCCCCAGTACCTGCTCATGCTGGTTCCTAGCTTGCGGATTTTGTACCCTAAAAATGGAGGCGATATGTTCCTCCGAAACGTCGGTTGACACACGATCTACACGGCGCCACATCCCAGAACACGGCATTCTTCAAATATTTCCTGGTTTTCTGCAGGTCCATTCCAAGTTATTCTCAATACATTTGAGCAGGGGTAATTTTAATATTCCCTTCTCTTTTGTCCCGTGCTTGTAATATCTTCACGAGTCAACCCTAACCCCTGTATCCCCGTACAAAGTAACACGTCATAAGGGAGTGGAACTTTGTGGCTTCGTAATAGATTGATATTGCAGCTTCACTCCGTTCTTCATATCTTGAACCCACTTTAAATTGCGTTATTTTCATTGCTACCTAAGAATATTTCATGTCGTCATGTTGGTATTATTAATAAGCAGGAACTGGTAATCCCATATTAGTAGCATCTTGTGGCATTATGTCACTACTAGTAAACTGAACCCCCCCCGTATATCTTACGGTACAGAGACAAAGATGCGTGATTCAGAAGGATGTGATCCTTAGGATTACAGGGTTTTTAGACTTCGTCCATCGTCCGGTATTATAAATACCAGAACGTTTCGGGAACTGGATCTGTTTCCATCCACAGGTGAGGAGGTGGGAAACACCCACTCTGCTGCAGCCGTTAGCAAGTGGTATTCTCAAATACTGGACTTGCCACGTCACTGTCCGAACGGTGATAATGCAGAGTACAGTGTTTTGTGTTGTAACGCCATATATTTTGGATAGAGCAAGACGTTTCGCAGGAGAATACCGCCTCCATCTTTAGGGTCTAAAAGTAATCCAAGCAAGAAACCAACAGAAGCAGGCGCCAAAGCTGAGATTAGCATTATTCGACCATGTAATTGGAGGAGATATGTTCCACCGAAACGTCAGGCTGTCTCCGAAATACAAGGCGTTACAACACAGAAGTCCATACTCTTCAAATCAAATTGATGGGGAGGGTGATGAACTGCTTTTTCTTAAGAGCTGATTGTAGTTCAGGCGGTGACGATGTTCGTCGACTTTTATATTACTCATTGCCATGACCATAAGGACTCGCCACTTGTCCTTACACTAAGGCAAGTAGGCCCCGTCCTCACCCTAACTTCCTACTGACTTAAGACTCATTTTAATATTGTCCTCCAATATAGTTGGGACAAGCGGTAGCGTAGTTGCTTGAGGTACTATGCTACAAGCCGGAAGGTCGCGGGATCGAATCCCGATGAGGTCAATTTTTTAATTTACCTAATCCTTCCAGCCGCACTATGGTCCTGGGGTCGTCTCAGCTTTTAACATAAATGAGTACCAGGAATCTCCTTTGGAGTAAAGCGCGGCCGGCGCGTAAGACTCACAACCTCACCGCCATCCGTGATCCGATTGTCTAGAAAATGTGGGAACCTCAACTTCTCACAACCCTATGGGCCTCCACGGCCTGTTACACGGATACATTTACCTTATAACATTGTACTGCCTCCGTCTTCAAGGTCGAACAGCGAAACAGAGTTCGCTTGCCATAGTCTTCAATCCCGAATATGAATGCAGTACGTTCTCATAGCTTGGGTTACTCATAGAACTTGAAGATGTAGGGTCTCCGAAACGTCAGTAAACTTTTATCAGACTACACGGCGTCACATTTCGGATTATAATTCTTTTCTGGAGACAGGTTACTGCTGAGTTCCTGCGTTTCATCTCTGAAGTATGGGAAATCTTACGAAATGTTGGTAAGAACACGAGGAGGCCTGAGTGCTTTCACTGGAATCACTGGAACAACTGACCCAGCTATAGGCAGAGTGCCTCATGCTATTGACTACAGGATAAAACTCATTCGCTCTAAAAGCATTTGAGTGGCTTTCTATCCGCTCACTCTCTTACACGGATTCAAAATGAATACATCTATCTCACTTCTACTAAAAGCACCCCACCCCCTTTTTCCTCCTGAATCTCCCTCCATCTCTTTCCTCGCTCCCAACGTCTCTCTCTTAACCTCTTCTCGCCACCCCACATCAAGTTGTTGGGAGTGGTTGCTTTTTCTATTTCGCAAGGGGAGAAAGCGAGACTAACAACAACCCACTGGTAAATTTCACCAAGTATTGTTCACAAAATGCACGTTAATTTTAACTTCAGTTTATGATGTTCTTTTAGAAACATAATATTGCGGGGTGAGGAGGGAGAATGAACTCTCGTCAGCTATTTCAAAAACGATCTTCGGCACATTTCTGTGGGCAAGCAGAGGCCAGGCTTTGTTGTGTTCCAAAAACCGAGTTGCATTATATATTGAATAATATATGTACAAAACTTCTCTGTGGTTGCTTCATCACCAAATAATGATGCAGATCGGTACGTCATAATTAAAAAAAAATTCTAGATTATGTAGGTATTTTCAACGTACTCTGGAAACCGATGTCCCCATAGTGGATTACTCGTTGGATAATACGACTTTCATCCTTTACGGTTGCTTACTCAGAGGATGCGGGATAGCTCAGTCGGTATAGCGACTGGCTACGGGCTGGACGATCGAAGGGTCGGAGTTTGAGTTCCGGTGTGGACAAGAATTTTCTCCTCTCCACGTCGTCCGGACCGACTCTGAGGTCCACCCAACCTACTACCCAATGGATACCTGGAGTCCTTTCCCCGGGGTAAAGCGGTCGGAGCATTAAGCTGACCACTTACCTCCGGCTAGTACCGAGTTCAAGAAAATGTGGATCTATACATCCACTCCTGCATACGCTTTCATGGCGTAGTGCTTAATTAGTTAAGCACAGGGACAACTTTATTGTTGCTTACTCAACGTATGATACTTTGTTTAACTTACAGAAAGTTCTGTTGGTGAGGTGTGGTAATTCGCAAAACGTGTTCAGTTAAACAATTATTCTTTAATGAGTACGGTCCTCTGAGTTGCGATGCCGTGTGATTCAGGTACAGCCTGACGTTTCGGGGAACATATCTACAGCTTGTTCAGCGTAGAGGAATAATTCAAACTTTATCTTCGATCTCATTTTGGATAAGCTTGGTTCTCCTTTATACGGTTCTCTTAGTATGCCTCCTGCTTGAGCATATCTCATGCTTGCCTTCTTTTCTGACCCAGAAGATGGAGCCTATATGTTCCCTCCGAAACGTCGGGTTTTCTCCAAACTACATGCAGTTTCAATCCTTAATGCCTGCTTTTTATAGTCGCCGCTATGTCACCCTAAAAGTTATACTGTTCGCAAGAAGTAAATTGTATTTGTTTTTAGGAAAGTTGGTGTGGTTTTTGAGAAGCCCCTTCTGTCCAAGGCCCCTCGTGGGGCGTTTTTTCCGGTGCTGAATCCTGGATCCTAAGAAGACGCTGTATATGCCAAGGACGCTCTTCATTGACGGTGAGTTATCCACAATTTGCAAATCGAATGAGTGCTGACTCATGTTATTCTCATTAGAACTGAGGAAAAAATGTTAATAGAAAAACTAAATATTTCCGCTTACCTTTGTTTCCTTTCATTTATGGAGAGCAGTAAATTACAAAATATAAGAAGTAGTGATCAGTCTTTATGTGTATCTTTTCCTAAGTACTGGTTTACACCGTCTGAAAAATTTTAAATCGTCGTTATGCTTGTTATTTGTAACTGTCAAGCTGAGAACCATTTAAATCTCAGTGATTACTATACGTACCATCTGCTCTGAGATACTAAAACTCTGAATTCTGGCCACAGAGTGTATCTGTGTGTTCCGTATGGTTCTCACAATAAAGAGGGACTGTTTCTCTAAACAGCATTAGCGGAGAGCTAGTATATTTCCTGTGATGTACGGACTGAATGTCTATATATTATTTAGAACAAATTTAATCCTTAAGAGGTTAAATACAGATTAATATCTATGTTCTGTTTTCACTGTTCGTGTCCTTAGTTTTCATTAGGAAGAACTTTGATATACGTGCATTTCCACGGCAACGAATAAAACAGTTGTATGAAACTGCAAGTGGTTAATTGCTTGTGCCAAGAGATTGCGACACATGATTCTTTTCATTGGCATTGCATATCACTACAAAAGATGCAAGAATAAAGGCCGGATTTAAAATGATATATTTCTCTCATAACAAGGGAAAAGTTAAATTGTTCGTAGAAATTACCTGAACAAACGTTTCATAATATTTTACGCATTGGATAGCTACCATTGGCATCCACTTCATTGTTTAATGGGGAAATACGNCACATTGTGATTGTCTTTGAGTATTATTATTACTTTGTCAACATATACATGTACGTGCAGCACCAGTGTTCGATCTCAGCATTTGCCATGCTGTATGAAGCGGAAATGATTGCATTGTTACATACTCTTGTTTCCGCACTTCTGTCTAATTTCTTACATCACTTCGCAATATCATGTAAAATTAAATATTAGCGTTGATAATACAATTAACGTAAATTTATATATATACGAGTACTGTTCGCAATTTAATCGATAAAGAGTTGAAATGATTTTTAAAACTTCCGAAGAATTCACTGCCTTGCCAATTCTCCCCTGAAACCGAACTCAGGTGTCTGGAAATACGTAGCCGCGTGTTTTCTAAGTATTGGTGTATTTCCTTGGGAAACTTTCCGGTATTTATTGTCATCATCACTGTTCATATAACATAGACATCAGGATAATCTGGATATCAGGCAAATGTTCCTGCTAGACCTATACATTGCCGGTCACAGTGGCCGCGCGGTCTAAGGCATGAACTGTCTTCACTCGCTTGAACACTGGGATCTTGGGTTCGAATCTCACTCAAGGTGTGGATGTATGTGTACGTTTATTCGGTTTTCGTGCTGTTCTGTGTGTAGGTAGCGGCCTTGCGACTTGTTGAGACCCCGTCCGAGGAGTCCTACCGACTGTTTAAAAAGATTAAGAAGCTGAAAACGGCTAAGGTCCAACAAAGAGATGTAGAATCATAGATAGATAAATAGATACGCACATAAATTAAGGTTTGGGAAAGTTCGCATTTTTTTTTTTGTTTTACAACCAGTAGCCTAGTCTGAACATTAACTGAGCCATCTGGTGTCGTAGTAGTAGTAGTAGTAGTAGTAGTAGTAGTAGTAGTAGTAGTAGTAGTAGTAGTAGTAGTAGCAGTAGTGATATAGTGGTTGTGGTGGTGGAAGTATTAGTAGATGTTAAGGCATGGAGATAATTTTAATTTCCTCTAATAAATTAATGCTTGAAATAAAGTGAATTCTACGTGAAATAGAGTAGTGTCTGACTGTGTCTTTGATATTTGTCTCGTGTAGAATATATTAGCCACTTACATACGGCAAACGAGTCAGAGGAATTATTTGTTCAATAGAAAGTGGCATGCTTGTCAGACAGAAACACGTTTGTCTCGCTGATGCAGTAACATTTTAGTGTTGCCAAAGATTGTTTTAATGAGACATAAAGCAGGATAACAAATCACGTTGTTTGTAGTGTACAGACGCGTTTCTAACGTGTTTATGTAAGGGGTTCTACATGACGATTATCTCTGAAACATTCCGAATGAGAAAGACGTTAATGTTGTAATAATCTCATTAGTAACTACCACTTTCAATCACTTTTTTGTACATGTATGCTGAAAAACGAATAATATGTAAAACAACAATCTCATCAAATTTCTCCGATTGAATTTTGATTCTGTGTGCCAAATTTAATCAAAATTCACCCATTCGTTGCAGAGTTATTGCTTGAGAACAGTAGAACAGACGGATGAAATATGAGTTTAATTTACCTGGTGAGCTTCCCTTAGCCTTGTAGAGTAGATACGAGTACTTCCCAAATCTGTCAGATCAACCTGAGGCAGATAAATCATTTAAACCGACATTCCGCACATCGTACAAAGTTGTACTGCAAACATGCAAATATGTTAACTTCTTTATTAAAAGATTTGAAGATTTGCAAATCTTGGCAGGAAAGGTGAATGGATCGTATTTTAGCAGAAAATTAAGCGAGTCCAGGTAGTTACATATAGCCTAGTGTGTTTCAGTTGTATGTTACCGCAAAATTTGGGAACACGTGTTCCCCTTTCATCTGATTGCCCTCGTACTAAACTTAAATGCCTTTCCAGGCTTCCAGAGAGATGGATAATGACACTGACACTTGCCATAAATTGTCTTGCTTATGACGCAGACACTTTACCACCTGGCACCAAATTGTGAAGCCATTCATGTAGTCCAGGTTGCAACATCAGAACTGGCCTGGGACTGGCTCCAGTCCTACATACAACTGGGCAAACATAACAGAGTTCAGGTCATGAGAGTATTGTTGGTAATGAAAGGCAGATCAGCTGAACATCGGTTCAGAGGACCTGAACCAGCTTGCGATATCTCAATTGGAGTTGCCAAGAAAGCCATCAGGGACTGGACTAACAGAAATCACAAAAACACCGGGAATCCCTAACTGGACTCAGACAGGCAAAGGGACTTATGCCAGGGATCTCTACCAGAAGTTACGAAGGATCTGTTGAAATTAAACAGAGAACAATTAAGATGGATGATAGGATTATTTAGAGGACACTGCCACCTAAAAGGACACATTTTCAAACTGGGACTGGCAGATGACGCAACTTGTGAAAGGTACCAAGAAAAAGATGAATCAGCCACACATATCCTATGTGATTGTGAAGCCATAGCTCATTTAAGATTTCGTCACCTGGGCCTGTTCTTTATGGAACCAAGTGACTATTATGACGCCCCCACAAATAAAGCCCTACATTTCATTCGAAGTGTAGGATTAATAAAGGGTTAATCCAAAGGGGAAGCACAACAGATCTTTGAAGGTCGCGGTTCAAGGGGCCGGATTATTATGGCCCACCCCTCATACATTCATTCATTAGTCCAGGTGGCAGGAACGGAAAGCCTTATTCATTGAGACAACTCATTTTAATCCTGTGTCAGAAGAAAATAGCATATTATCACACAGTATATCTATAACAGGAATGAAAAGATGTATTTTATTTTGAAGCGCACTGTTTTTCCAAAACTAATTCCTTATACGTGTGCTGAGTAGAATATTTTGATTCAAGACAGATGCAGCAAGAGGCAGGAGAAAATTGCGTGATGAGAAGCTTCATAACCTCTACTTCTCTGTGAAATTGTAGGATAATCCGTATCGGACAACGGTTATCTTGACTGAGGTTCAATCCCTCCAAGCAATTGTCAGGTTAGTACCTCTATTAGACTACTACCGTTTGCTTCCAAATCCTTTCCAATACACCACAATCTGATGCTATGCAATATCGTTACTAAGAGTATTGTTACGTAACGAATACTGTAAGCGAGCAGATTGAGTTGAGCAAGGCTTGTATGATGACTGATTGACGGACTTGTTACAAAAACGTAGTTAGAAAACTGAACCGAAAAGATAATTTGAATATCTAGTTTGGTAGAAAAGTATCTATCAAGTTAAATGATGTTACATCCAGGCAACGTCACAGTAACCACAGTCAGAACCCCTAATCTTGTGTGAAGTGATTGGCTGAAGGTAGAGACAAGTGGCGGGCTCTGTGAACATGGTAATGAACCTTCGGGTTCCATAAAAGACTGGATGAGAGACTGTCAGCTGCTCAAGAAGAATTCTGCTCCATTTATTTGCTTATTTTGCAAGATTCATTGTGATTACACTTGAATCAAATATATTGAATGCTTTTTTTTGGATGGGACCAAACAGAAAACAAATTCAGTGTAATGTGGTAGTCCACACACACGGACCGCCATGGCATATGTAACCCAGATACCATCCACGAAATACACATCGCTGAGAAAAACAGAAAAATATAAGAACAGTAAGACACAACACATGATTTTAAATTATTTTCGCATTATTTTTTAATTTAAAGTTATTTTATCAGAAACAAACTTTATATTTATGATAATAAAATTTCGGACGTATAACCCTCACGGGCTATATAGTACCACAACACAGTTATAACAATTTTCGTGTATCATACATCCCTGATGATGGCCCTGTGTGGTCGAAAAATGTCGTGAACTTCCTTGGAAACGTGGATTAGGCGGTGATATTAAGCTCCGATTTGCATGTATTGCATGTGTGTACATTGTATGTATATATACAGGATGATTCTAAATTAGTGTTAAATTTTCCGTGGCCTATAATTTTGAAACTTTGCATGCTATGAAAGGCGCGCATGTTCAAGATGTTTAGCATTCTCCAGTTTTTATTCTGTATTTAGTAACACTTTTTGAGTTACAGTCTCCTATTGCGTAAACAGTTTTGTTTTATTCTTTCCGGTTTGAAAATTATAGGCCACGGAAACCCCGACACTAATTTAGAATAGTCCTGTATGTGTAAAGTTTATTGTAAAATTATATAACACGGTAATTCCTGAATTTTCTAAGTGAATGTTTTGCGTATA